TTGTTGGGACCTCGCCGATCACCATTTGATCTTCGACTTCAGGGACCACACAACACCACTTACAGAACACGAGAAACATTACCCGCGATCATGCCTACAAAGACTCACCGTGCCATGGCTGAAGAGGCATTACAGATATTACCAACATTCATAATAAACAGATTAATACTTTAAGATTCTACTTTTTCAACAAAGCTCTGTCTCAACTTTACATAATGCAAGAGTTCAATGTGATAAAAGACTAACATCTTTAAATATGGCAGACCAAACAACACAGAACAACGAAAAGCAGACTGACCTACAAACTAAAATCTATGAGTGAGCCCAAAAGTCACTACATGAGAGACACTACTACGACCTTAGCCAACCTAACGTCGATCAAGTTGCATCGAACGAATGGTTATGACGTGGTGGATTGTTTCCCGAGACTGAACGTTCATAATCGCGATTCAGAACCAGGTAATAAAGACACGCAATTACCAGTAGCACACCATGCGTAACTCGTTACCAACCGATACCTGCAGGGAATGTAATGGTGCATTGGAAAACATCCAGCATATTACAGGCACCTGTAAATCCATAGTTCAAACCGATTATCAGCACAGGCACAACGCAAGTACATACCGCACTATAAATATCAACCGGAAACTGTGCTTGACAACTCATCCCATAAAATATACTTTTATCGAGCCATCCTCACTGACAAAAGCACTAATTAAATTAGACCAGACATTATCCTTATTGACCAACTAACAACACTACACAAATCATAGACCAAACCGAACACCTACAACCTTCAACTTACAAAATACAATAACCGAAAAACTTTCTAAGTAAACGGACCTCAAAATTGAAATAGCCAGAATGTGGCGACTCAACAATAGTACTTTCAACAACAGGTGTGATCCTTAAATAACTCCATAATTCAATAAAATCTCTTAGATTTACCCCCTTACACAAGCCGAAGCTTCCAAAAATCTGCTACATATTTTAAATACTTGCCATACAGTTAGAAAGTTTTTGAATGAAACAGATAATGTTTCGTACACCCACACCCAAAATTGAGATACCTAAGTGGGTTAGCACTTGGCTTCGGCCCGTACTAACCCTCAAACCCGGCCTTGTTGCCGAGCTAAGATAAAGAAACAAAAAATAATAATATAACTTACCTCAGTCTTTAATGTGCATCTACCATCATATATTCCTCGCAGAATATTAAATGCGCAATAACCCATTTCCCTTCTTCTCTTTAATTTCTTCAATAGTTGTTTTAGAAGGTAATAAATCCATTATTCTTTGCCAAGCGTCACTTTGCGTTCCACGATTCTTGATAATTTTGAGTTTCGGATCCCTCAAACATGTTTCTATTTGCAGAATCTCAAGAAAAGCATTACTTTCTCATCAGTCCATACGCCATAGTCAAACTACGTACTTTAAAACAAAAACGTGCGATTTGAGGACAAACACGTCATATTAACAGATCGTTGCACCGCATTAATTCTCGCATTAATCGCTTTGATGTACCGCCACTTGAACAAACGGCTATCGCCAAACGGCAATCTGACTGCCGTTGTCAAGTGCTATTAACATAGGCTTAAGTTTATTTACTAACATCGCTACGCTTCTATGTTTATTTATTAGTAACTTATTACCGCAGTACAGCTAGTTAGGAATAAAGAGTCAAAAGTCCCGATTGACCTGGTGTGCTCGTGTCTAAAGTCTTTAGGAATTAAAGGTCTTAAGTATCTTAAGTATTTTCCCTAATAAATAATATAATAGTTATTTTATTAACCAACTCAACGGTTAACAGTGGCTACCTTGTGTTTGAGACTGATTTTATTTATGTTGATGAGGAGTTTACACCCTTGAGGATTATAAGTAGTAAAACGTGTCTGTATACTAAATAAAAGTAAAAATATATTTTTTCCTGTAAAAACCTCATTTTAAAAACCAACCACTAAGAATACAAACAGAAATAAAAAAAAATAAAAAGCAAAAATAACTATACATGGGAACAAAGAAACAGAACATGAAAAAATATATTTATTAATAATATATATGTATATTAATATTAATTATAATATTATTTTATTATTATTATAATAATATTATTAATAATAATAATAAAAAAAAATAAAAAAAACAAAATAATATTAATATTTAACTGTAATATTACTTAGTGCCATGTTAGTTTCATTGTAATTCCTTGCATGATAAAAAAAAGTGCACAAGCCGTCCACTTCTTTTATTACTTTACTAGCTTTTACCCGCGGCTTCGCTCGCGTCACAAAAGGATAAAAAGTAGCCTACGTGACATATACCAATGCACACACCGCCATTGTCCGCCATCTATACGAATACTTTTGTTTTTCCTCGGGAATATCATTTTTTCCGGGATAAAAAGTACCCTATTATTTAATCCGGACTTCTAACTTTACGTCTGCAAAAAATCAAAGCAATCGGTTTAGTATATTTTATAATTATTAATAAGGATTATTATTAATATAAATAATTAGTAAGGATTATTTCCATTTCAAATCATACTTATAATCTTATACTAATATATAAAGCGGAAGAGTTTGTTTTTGTTTGTTTGTTTGAACGCGCTAATCTCCGTAATTACAAGCCTGATTTGAACAATTATTTTTGTGTTGGATAGTGCATTTATCGAGGATGGACTATAAGCTATAAAACATCACGCTACGATCAATAGAAGCTGAGCATAGCGTGTGAAACCGCCGGAAGTAGCTAGTCTTTATTATATAACGTAACAGTATTAATTCAGTTATTAAGAGTTTAATAGATAATTTTGTTTAGAAGTTACGGTATCGACTACTAACCTATCAATGGGTTGGTAACCAGGTATCAGTACTAGTAATCCTATACTATTGTACAAAGCGGAAGAGTTTGTTTTTTGTTTGTTCGTTTGTTTGAACGCGCTAATCTCCGTAACTACAAGTCTGATTTGAATAATTATTTTTGTGTTGGATAGTGCATCTATCGAGGAGGACTATAGGCTATAAAACATCACGCTACGACCAATAGGAGCTAAGCATATCGTGTGAAACCGCCGGAAGTAGCTAGTCTTTATTATATAAAGTAACAGTATAAATTCAGTTATTAAGAGTTTAATAGATAATTTTGTTTAGAAGTTACGCTATTGACTACTAACCTATCAATGGATTGGTAACCAGGTCATATCAGTACTAATAATAGTTATTTTTGCTTCAGTTTTAAATTATTTGTTGTTTTAAGTCAGTATGTATAAAAAAAACACTTACTGTAAATGAAGACGCTTGGTTGAACTGGCTTAGTAGATCGTGTGTTTGCGCTTGCGCCGGTTCAGAAGACTCCTAGATTGAAACAGGAATATAATTAATAGTTATCATAACTGACTAACTTAATTATAGACAAATTGTATATTTCTGGTACCTCTATATATTCGTCCAGGATACGAAACCAATCTGAGCTCACGGCAGACTTCAGCAACAACCGGCCATTGGCATATTCTGCAGACTTCTTCTCGAATATGTATGATTGATATTCATGTTCACATTCCAGCTTCTGCAACTCCTGGCGGTACAGCTCAGCCCTAAATGTATAATTTGATTGTTTACTAATGTATCTCGTGCATTAGCTTGGTATACAAATATATATTAGCGTATAGCAACTATTTTCTAATTCGAAATAAGATATCTTTAGTAAACCGTACACTCGTGTTATTATATTGCCGGAATCAGTAGGTACACCAAAGGATTTATTGTCATCAAATTACGAAACCCCAGAATCATTATTTCGACATATAGAATCGCTGTGCAGACATCCCATATATCAATGTAATTACTTTATTTTCAAGCTATTATAGTCCACAGTTTTAATAAAATACCAAAACGATTTTTCAATTTTTTTCTAATCGATGTCAGTGAATGTGGCAAACAAGTAGTAGAAATATAGCCGGGATGTTATATTTTATTGGGCTTAGCAATTTACTTGGCATTTATTCGTTTGGATGAATGTCAATATTAAGTACGCAAACGGGGGTTACTCACGTGTTAAGAAACATTTTGTTTGTTACAAACGGTTTTCTTTCTTAATTGTTATATCGCACAGCATCACAGCATATTACTTGAAGCCCGCGTGCTATTTAACCATTAAGCTCTTTATGTTTGCATATTAGTGTTAATCAGTGAACTGGATGTTTAGTTTTCGCGGTCACGAGGTCTCCTTGGATTTTATATAATTTTGCATAATGCAAGCAAAAATTTAAGTGGTAAACAATATTATACATTGCCATAAATTCGCTTCTCCACTATTAAAAATTATAAATTGTAATCAGAATGCGCTTCGCTTTAAAACACTCGCCGATTCATTACCACTCTCATACATCACCGTGTCAAACCTTAATCCCGGAAAAATAACACAGCGCTACTATTTCTTAAATAATATCATGCGAACAAGTAATATGAAGAAGAATCTCATCATTGCAAACCTGAGTTCCCGCTGGATACAGTTTTCGCAGTGGCCGTCAACTTTGACGCAGTCCGCTTTCTTGGTTTTGCTTGGTCCGGCTGAGAACAAAATAAATATGCGCCAAGCAAATAACATTAGCTATCCTAGTGCAATTATAAAAAAATGCAATGAACAATGTGTTAAACAGTGACATATTGTCTGCCTACAGGTTTTGCTCTTTCAAACAACGCAATCAATCATACCCCAAACAGAATCATGTTCTAAACCTGACTGATAGTTACTGAGTCACAAATAAATAATTACTGCACATGATCTAATTTTGTGAGCGTACATTGTGTGTACAAAACCTAGTTTCTATCCATAGCTAGCCTGCACAAGATATTATTTCAAATTTAAGGGACAATGCCAATTTGTACGATAAATAACTAAGCCTGGCCAGGCCTGGCGCACTAGTCAATGTATGTATAAAACTGTACCATGCGGCTCAGCCACTTTGGAGTGACTTGTATACCTGCCACCTGCCTCCTGCCGATTGGCAGGTACCACGTGGCGAACAAAATAGAAAGCCAGGGCCATGTTCATTCTTTGCTCATTTTAACAAATAAAATTGTGAAATAAATATACAAGTCCAATTATTGACATTATAGAATGACAAATAATAAAAATACCCTTCTATGAAAAGGCTAGTTCACCCAAATGAAGAGTGGTACCATTATCACCATGGCAAATAGCATGTGTTAATAGATTATTGAATTAGCAAGACTTTGTGAAACTTAGGCAAAGTTCATAATGGCACGCGCTTAGCGCGCACTTGAAACGTATTATATAGTTATAGTTTAAGATCCGATATAATATCGACCTTCACAGAGCTGTTTCATGAATAAAAACTACTCGATAGATAATCTAGTTCATTAAACATTTAAAAAAAAAATTGTCTGTTTGGTAAAATTTTGACCAGGCAAATAAATTTACAGCAACGGTAAGTACACAGCTTATAAGTTATGCGAGCGGCGGGTTGCCTCTTCTTTTCATGATATAAAGATTGCGTTACTTGTTTATACGGGTATTTAGCTCTCAGCAATTATTACCTATTTGTTTAATGTACTAACTGAACATAAAATAAGTGATGTTTGATTATGAATACAATGATACTAGGTTACCCGTAGGTTTGTTTTGAATGATAGATGTAAAATTTTTAAAAGTTAAATTATTCCGACTGGTCAAGTATAATTTAGTATAACAGGGTCCGAGTCTAATATAAACTCTTAGGGCCGATTTTTCCAACGCCAGATAACTTTTAGTTGAGGAATAACTTTGAATATTTGAAATATTACATATGTTAAGTTAACTGCTGTGAGTAAGTTAATTATTACAATGTTAAGCTACAGTTAACTACAGCTAACAGTAGTAAACAGTAGTAATAGTAATAAGATACAGAACGCTTAATATACATTTGAAATAATAGACAATATTTATAAAGTACAACTTTGAAAACTGTACTAAATTAGATCTTGTACTAAATCGTGGCAACACTTATAGATCAACAATTTTTTTTGGTTTTCGACTAATTTGTTGCATTTTTAAGACAAAATAATACTCACAGATGGAAAGTAACATTATCCTTTTGTTTACTTGATTTTTATTATTTTTTTTACACTGCAATCCGAAATTTTTCACTGAAATTCGTACCGCGTCATTGCCATTTAGTAAATGTCACTGATCGCACGTCAACTACTTTTATATAACTGGTATGATTGGCAAACCTTTGGCAGCGGGGAACGCCAGACAATTGCTGCTCTTGTCAGTTAAGATACTTTAGTATAAACTCGATGATGAAATTAAAAAAGCCTAGTCAAGATTTCACCGGGAAACCCATTTTTTTTTATGTTTAATGAAATAAATTACTTATCGAGTAGTATCCATCAAATATCGAATAGTTATCCAAGCATGTTGAAAAATAGGTGGACGTAATGTCACTTAGAAATGATTGAGGACCCAAATTGTCAGTGGTTAATTTGTGTGAGCTTGTTACCAGGTTACCCAACAAAATGATATTATCCGAAATTATTAAATAACTTGAATAATTATTTTTAGGTTCTATTGGATTTTATTTTTTATGTGCTGCTTTTTAAGGAAGTTTAATTCAACTTATTCAACCGTGGCAATAAATTCAAACATAAGGAAGGTAGTTTTGTATTTTTAAAAATAAAATACAAATCAAATAAAATATATGTTTCGTTTTCATAAACATTTGCATTATTTAATTTCATTAATAAGGAAAATTTATCACGACGTTTGTAATTACCAGTTCCCATTATTTGCTGCGAAAAGTCAATCAAAGAAATAATAGTGTAAATTATATGTATACAGGATACAACAAACTATATGACTTGGATTTTTTTATATATTTTTCTGATAACTGTTGGAAGCTTGTCTGGTGCCATTTGATCGTCAACTTCAGGAACACTTTATATACCTAATACAAAAGATTTACCCAAATTCAGGGTAAATAATATTATGTAAATTAACTTGCAACACCGTAATGTATGAAGTGTATTAACAGGCAATGTCAAGTGACTGAAGTGCTTTGTCTATAGTAGCCAGGCGTCACAGTCGTTGTTTCAAGAGGCTTTGTCCGCCTTTTTTTAAATGTCCTTGTTCTTATCCATGAAACAGTGTAGTGAAGGTAGATATTTTACGTAACCTTTACTGTTAAGGTCATCGCACACCTAACAAGCACGGATTTGGCACGACTCCGACCCTGCATTAACTTGTCATTTAAATATGAACTTTAAATCGTTTGTCGTATGATATACTAGTGACCCGCCCCGGCTTCGCACGGGTGCAAGTATTATACATATAAACCTTCCTTAAGAATTACTCTATCTATTAACAAAAACCGCATCAAAATCCGTTGCGTAGTTTTAAAGATCTAAGCATACATACGGACATACAGCGAAAGCGACTTTGTTTTATACTATGTATTGATGGTGGTCAGCGTGTAGTTGAGGCGCCGGCGTACCAGGGCCTTTAGCCAAACGCTACTATAGCGCTTGTCTACAGAGAGAGTAGAAATCAAAATGGGGATGACACTGACAAGTGTCAAAATTTACGTCAATTCCATATAATTTGGTTTTCTATTCTACATGTAGTCAAGCGCTAAATGGCATTTGGCTACAGCTGCAGGTAGGTATTCGTAAACCGCGCACGTAAGTCCAAGTCGTATTCAATCTTCAATCGGAAATGCCAAGTATAGTTGACTATATTCCTGATGACAAAATGGATCCACCTCGCGGCCGGGCGGCGCACCGACCGCTTACAACGCGTCGTGAGCGCGCTAGCGGCTAGCGGTAGGCAAATTCGAAACAACGACGTGCAGGAGCCGTACGGGACATGTGCTCGTCATGTGTGCGATGACGAAGCGGATAAATTGATTTGTTTGAAAATTGGTGGGGAGGTAGCTTTAGAACTTCGACACGGACATCGAATACTTTTCATGCAAAGATTTCCAGATCATACGGAAACGGGTAAAAGCGGCACTACGCTTACGAAATTGCAAGCAGAAACTAGTTAATTAAATATTTTGATGTTGAAAATAAGCAACAAATAAATAGTGCTTAATCATCATCATCATCAACAGCCTGTTTTCGTCCGCTGCTGGACATACGCCTCTCCAATGGCACGCCACTGAGCTCAGTCTTCAGCTCTACGCATCCAACCACTACCAGCCACTTTACGTATATCGTCACTCCATAAATAGTGCTTATTTTTGTTAAAATAAATGTATCTTGCTTTGGGCCTACAATCAATTGATTTTTTAACCCTAAGTAGATTATTTTGACCAGATATAATTTTCAGCTTATTTCTGAGGTATTTGAGAAGTAATGTCACAAGTCTTTACTTGTGAACATTGAAGAATAATGGTTGCATTTTTGGAAGACAACTAAACCAATATTGCGGAATTTAAGTCATTAAATGAATGTGATACGCATAAATGATTGTGACATGTCAAGTGATGATATAATATTTATAAAAATGCGTGGAAAGGTAGACGTTGTTTGTTACATCTAATAACTTAGAATTACATAATTAGTAACGTACCACGCAAGTATGTCTCAATTGATTAAACAAACAGAAGTCATATTGGAACCAAATATTCAAGCTTTGCCACAAAATGTATTGCTAAATATTCGCGCATGCTATTCTTTTTTGATCTATCCTTTAACTAATATAATTTTTACTACGCTGAGCATCAATTAAAAAAACAAGAACAAGAAACTGCTGTGTTATAATAGATACAGGGTGTAAGATATTTCATAACATAATGTAATCTTTGGTCTGCTATATCTATAAGCACTCTTTCTTTTTTAAGTTTAACTGGTTTGTGCTGTGATGATTCTGTGACCACTTGAGAAAAATCCTGTACTATTATATAAATTGTCACACATACATACAAACATAAAAACGAATAAAAAACTAACCAATATATCTTAGCTTTTTACTCAAATTACTAAATTTGTACAAAATACTAAAGATTTTCTTAAGTGAAGGTATTTTGTACTTATGAAGAAAAAATCTGGAGAATTTCTTGAGTATGTATCAGTTCTTTGTAATCTTCCAATATAAAAGTAACACTACTGTTAAAAATGATTTTAATGATAATTACCCTCATCAGAAAGCTCGGCAGATCGTTTGATGGCGCCAATTTTATTAGGAGTTGCATTAGTTGGCAATGGCGGAGGAGGTCTACTGGCGTCGAAACTGCAATAAAAGAAAATAAGTTTAAAAAGGAGATAATAAAGGGTGTACAGCGGAACTTTTTCTAATAAAGTAACGTCACAAATTTCTTGGCTCGACTAGAGGGATGGAGCAAAGCATTAGCAGCGCTGTCTTTGCTGTTCGCGTGTAATGGCGAATATAAAGGTCCACTTACAAGAGTGTTTTAGAAGAAACGGTCATTGCTTGGACATTATTTTAAAAATTATAATTCACATAGGTCTCTAATCTTCTTTCATTTTAAAAGTAAGATTAATATTTTTTTATTTTTTATTGAATATCAACATCTAATAATACCTGGTGCTTTTGATTACCTACACCTACAACGTTTACAAGTACAACAATTCAACTATTCTCCAACTTTTCGTTTATTTTTTTTAATGTTCGTATATATCTGATTATCAAGTATAATTTTTATTTCAGTAAAATATGACCGTTTTATGCCGAAAAAAAATATTAAAAATTTGTCGTAAAATATACGCGCCAAAACACCGACCGCCATTTTGGTGACGTCAATAGCACGAAAATATTTAAACGTCAAATGGCTAAATCATTACATATTATAAACAAGTTGGTTGCGTTGTGATTTTATTGTATTTATAAAATAAATATGTTTCAATAGCCCGTATTGTTGGTGTATTGCGTTAAATTGCAAGAATTCTACATTAAAATTTTATTTATTAAAAACAAAAAGTAGTTAAAATTTGACTTGACAAGAATGCTATTGTTTACTATAAAATATTTCGATGCTTCCGACGTCACTCTTGAGAAAATCATGGCGGACGACGTTTTTGGTCACGTGACATACAGATAATAAAACTTTGATTTTAATTTTGAGAAATTAATCCTATGTTTTTATGGAATAACAACATTTTTTTTTAATTCCACACGTTTTAAACTATACAAATAACTTAACGTTATAATTTATTGTTGATACATAAGAATACCCTATTATTAATACTGGTCAGGAGCATCTTTTCCTGCCACAGGCCCACAGGAAGAAATTCCAGTGTTTTTATATATGTATTGTCCTCTATGTTGAATGTGTGTACATAAATAAATAAATCGCCATAAATATTTGATGACGAAAAACAAAGAAAGACTTACATATGTGGCAGTGGTGGTGGTGGCTGAGTGGCAGTGAACATTGCAGGACTGGTAAAGGAAGGTGGAGCTGTAAAGTAAAATTTAATGTTTTAGTCAAAGTTGTAGTACTAACTTTACTAACATAACATAACGATCACGGCTTTTTATCAGAGGCAGTAAGCAGAGGTGCACATAATACGGCAATTAATGCTACTGTACAATGGAACACTCACTTTTCACTAATTAAGTTATCAGTCCCATGTAATAGGGAGTAAGCCTATAGCCGTATACCGGGCACAATTTTACTAATCACACTTTATAAATTGATTCAAAATCATGATTAAATCAATTTTAAAATCCATAAAAAGTTATTGTCATACATAATTCAAATTTATATTTATATAATACGTCGTCGTAGAATAATGACTTCTGACAGAATTCATCAGAATCAATTCATCGATTTATCGTGGTTTCAAAAAATAAATAATCTCGCAGGGATCTTATTAGTACAATGCCTGTTTCCGTAGGGTTTTAGTGATAAAATCTATTCTACTGACTATTGTGATATGGAATCTTTCTAAAATGAGTTCAGTGGTTAAAAGATAGAGATTCCCGGGGCTATATCGCATAGTTCCCGCTCTAGTGGGACTTTTGTGATAAAAACTATCATACATAGTTTCTCAGGTCTCAAATTATAGTTTTACCGAATGTAACTCAAAAAGTTTCAATGATTCTAGATTCAATAGCTAAGACGATTTATACAAACTCTCATTTCCTATTTTATCCCCTAATCAAAATGCTTTCTTAGGAGATTCCTATGTCATAGTAACTTTATGCATGCAAAGTCTCATCCCGATCGGTTTAAAACAGACAAAGTTTCATACAAACTTTCATCCCCTATTTTACCCCATTAGGGTAGAAATGATCAAAATCCTTTCTTAAGGGACATTCACGTCATAACATCTACCTGTATGCTAAATTTCAACCCGATCGCTTTATAACTGACAAAGATCCATACCAACTTTCGTACCCTATTTTACCCCATTGTGGGTTGAAATATTTAAAATCCTTTCTTAGGGCATGCTTAAGTAATAACATCTACCTGTAAGCCGAATTTCAACCCGATCGGTTTAAAACTGACAAAGATCCATACAAACTTTCATCCCCTATTGTACCCCATTGGAGGTGGAAATAATCAAAATCCTTTCTTAGGGGATGCTTAAGTCATAACATCTACCTACACGCCGAATTTCAACTGGATCAGAACTGACAAAGATCCATACAAACTTTCATCCCCTATTGTACCCCAGGGGGGTCGGAAATGATCAAAATCCTTTCTTAAGGACGTTTAAGTCATAACATCTACCTGCACGCCGAATTTCAACCCAATCGGTGAAAAATTGACAAAGTTTCGTACAAACTTTCATCCTTTATTTTACCGAATTGGGGTAGAAATGATCAAAATCCTTGCTTAGCGGATGCCTATGTCATAATATCTACCTACATGCCAAATTCCACCCCGATCCGTCCAGTGGTTTGGGCTGAGTGTTGATAGATCACTATGTCAGTCAGTCACCTTTGAATCCATACTAATAAAAATACCACCATCCCCAATGATATTTGTATTACTCTTGATGTCTTTCAAAGTCCGATCTAGAGCTTCAATTGCTCCTTTATGGGACATGGTACACTCATCCCAATTAATAATTTACATTGCTGCACCGTAAAAAGTAGCCTGTGTTTGTGCCTAGGATCTTTAAATATAAATATCTTTAAATTAACCAAGTTTTATAAAAATCTATTCAGAATTCAGACGTTAAAGCGTGAATGAGGTAAATTTTTAAAACAAACGATTAAAAATCATAACTTAATTAGTTTTCTGCCTACTGCCTACGCCTTAAGTATAATAGCATAAATATTAATAGCCCATATCCTTTTCTAGGTTACTATCTATCACCTAACTAAATTTCATCAAAATCAGTTCAGCCGTTTAGGCATGATAGAGCAAAACTCCCAGCAAAAACCATTCCATCACAAACATAATTCAGTTTTCTGCCTACTTCCTACCCCCTAAGTACCCCGAGCGTACGTCGCGTCGCGTTCCGCGCGCGCCTCAAAGAGCCATCAGACCACCACAGATAGGGCCCAATAGGGCCGATGCCGATTCGGAGTCGCGGAGAACCTAACGGGTAACCGGGGCTCCGGCTCGACGTGCAGGAGAAGGAACGGGGTGGTTTTTAGTCATTAAGAGTCTGACACTCCCTTCCGCCTCACCCAGACGGGAGCAGCTATTCGATGATTTTCCCCCCTTAAAAAAAACCCCCTAAGTACGATGACGTAATTATTTATAGCCTATGACCATTTCTAGGTTATTATCTATCACCATACCAAATTTCATCAAAACCAGTTCAGCCGTTTATACGTGAAAGAGCAAAATTCCCAACGAAAACGACTAAAAATCAGTGACTCAATTTAGTTATTGCCCTATTGCATACCTCCTAAGAACGATGGCGTGATTATTTATAGCATATGACCATTTCTAGTTTATCATCTATCACTGTACCAAATTTCATTTTCGTTTAGTTTAGTGTACTCTTTCACGAGTAACAGACGACAGACAGAGTTACTTTCGCATTTCTAATATTAGTATGGATTATGTCCGGATTGACTGACTGATTCATTATCACCGCGCGCAAACTATCAATGTTACGCGAGCAACACCGCGGGAAATAGTACTATCATAAAATCAAAAGCCAAATTTAACAAGATATCATAAGGTTTTGTGTAGTGAAAACAAAATGGGTTGCACTTTAACACAGGTTTCTGTAATATTACGAACATCATCATGTCAGCCACAAAGCTCAGTGACATATCAAAATTTCCTTTCAAGAAGGAGAAATCTTTGTTATTTTGACTACTTAAAGTAGTAAAATCAACTTTTTATTATAACATAATAAAACACATCATTTCATCTTTTTTACATATTAGTTGTTATGTAAGATTCATGTGGGTAGTTATTAAACAGTTATATACGTAGTAGATTTTTGGTGTACATAAATAAATCAAAAAATTTATCAGTCTGTTATAAAAAAAACAAGATATTTTACGTAATACTTATCCAAATCCGTTGAATATCGATATTATCCCGAATAGAAAACTTATTATCGTAAATAACAGGTCTTTTACGTACTACACATCCATTTACTTGAAGTAATATAATTTACAATACTGAATACTTAGTAGCATAAGTAAAAAATATCACATACTAGTTACCCAGCAAACTTCATATCACCTGGTTTTTTTTTCACCTTCTACATCATCATCATCATCAACAACAGCCTAAAAATGTCCATTGCTGAGCAAAGCCTCTTCTCACATGAAGAAGGTTTGAGCATTAATCACCACGCTTGCTCAATGCGGGTTGGCGATTACAAACTTATAATTAGAAATTACATATAAGCCCAGGTTTCCTCACGATGTTTTTTTTTCCTTCACCGTTTGTCAGTGGTGTCTAGATCTTAGAAAGTATATAACTCGGAAAAAGTCACATTGCTACTTGCCATTGGTAGGTTTCGAACCTACCAACCTCATGCATGAGAAGCGGGCGTCTTAAACCTCTGGGCCACCACAACTTCCTACCTCCACCTTCTACAACTACCGTTTTTTTTTTTTTGAGTGGGTATAATGATCAAATAACTTCTCCCGCCTTGGGTTAGGCGAGGGGGAGGGACTCAGACTCCTGCTAACTAGAAACCACACCTTTCCTACCTGTTCTTCGAGTCAGAGCCCCAGGAACCCTATAGGCCTTCAGCGGCTCCATATCAGGTCTAACCCTACCCTAGACTTTCACAAAACCAAAACTAGACAAATCGGTTCAGCCGTCCTGGAGTTTTAGCGAGACTGACAGACGGAAATTCATTTTTATTTATATACATTCAGTTTGAGATTCGAAGTCAAATCAAATAGTACTTTAGGCATTGAGTTAAACCCAAGATAAGCGATCTCCATGACCGCACATCTACCTAAATGGCTCCGCTTTTGACATAGAAATGAGTAGCTTTGAAACCAAATACATTCCTTTCTTAGGTTTATTTTTTTTTTGTTATACCTCCCTTAATGTCTTATAAAGTAGAATAAATCAATAAAAGTATAATTTTATTGGACTATAAATAGGTAAGTATTATTTTTAATATGATTTTATCAAAATGTTTCTATTTTATATAAATCTGGTAATATTATTATTATGCATTAAATCCGGAATATCTTAGATAGTAATTTATTATCCACTAATGATAATAAATGTTTTACATCAGAGTTAAACTGTCAAACACCGAGCGGTCACCGGTGACCGCAACCTATTGTTAATTGTCTATAATGACGGTACTCAACGAGTTAATAATGTAACATGTGTCCTGTTATAGAATTACAATTACGATGCATTTCCCCATACTTGAAAATTTATTGGTGTGGTTTGTGCTCATCAATGACACGTCTGTAAGGCGTCTGAGGATGCTTTTTGAGGCTTGTCATTTTTTGTATGGTGATTTATCTCTATTGTATATCTCAATGACTTTAGGTACTATTTGTGGGTTTAGTTAAAAATGCTGATTGATAACCATGTCTCAAAGACTTAAAATTATTCTTTTCGCCTGTGTACATGATTATGTTTCTAAGGTTGAGAAGCTGATCGTGAGCATCTCATGAAAAGACTTGAGTGGTGGCGTGTGTAATATAACTAAAGCTTGAAATGTAGGGTAAACATAAACAGGTATAAAATCTCTTTCAATAACTAAGAAAAGTACCTAAACTAAAAAGCCTGAATACCTAATTTAGAACATGCTTGTATTTTGACCTTTATTAAAAAAAAACAGAAGGTACCTGAAAATAGGGGTGGTGTCGTCTGAACAGGTGTAACAGCTGTCGTTGGCGGCGGCGGAGGTGGTGGAGGCGGTGGCGGTGCCAATAATGTAGATGCTGGAAGAGGTGGCAACGCTGAACTAGGGAGCGGCGGCGGCGGCGGTGGAGGCGGTGGTGGTGGCGGTGGTGGTTGAGCTAAATACTCGTTCACATACATGCTCATCGGTGCGTTGGACATCGCTGCATATCTTTCCGCCAGGGCTCTAGGTATTTGGCCTGTGGTTAGAAAGAGGTTTTCTTCTTCTCTACTCGCATGCAAATATGTGCAATCTGGTCTATTACAGCCTGTTTTGTTTTGGTAATCGTGACAAAACCTCAGAATCTCTTTCATATATTCTACATCTAACTCATGTCGAAATTTACACTGTGCACCTTTAGTGCATATGCCCCAAACAAAGTCACGACATTTTCTAAACTGACTTTGTTGATCTGAAGTTTGTCGGTTTGAGGTCTGTGTCTGTGGCGGTAAAGGAGGCTGGCGGCCATTTTGTTCGTTGTTGTTAGTCATGAACTGAAAAATTAAAGTAGGTACTATTAAGCACGTGCGATATGCAATAATAAAGCAAAAAAATATAATGTTAATACAAACCGTAATGGCTCCAATTTCCGTAAAATTAGATGTAAAAATATATTATCTATGTACACTACCACTTGAAGCTCTACGAGCGGGTAAAAAGTTTATCTCATTGTTACCGATCCTATATTATTTAAGCACCTCAAGGTTTGCCAATGATGTGCCTTTAGATATCAATGATCACATCACCACCGTCCACTCTCACATTTAATTTTAAATTCTGAGTAAAGGTGCACACGCACACCGCCGCTACACTGGTTGACTGCACGTTGACTGTAAATAAATAATTTTATAGGATAGACCACAGATTAATATATTATTAGACTAGTCAGAGTAGTCAGAGAATAGACTTCTGACTTTCCATAGATACTTTCTTTGAAGTAGACGTGAAATAGACCAAAGATTATAGGAATAGACAATAGATTTGTCCAACACTTTTTTTTTCGTCTATAGTAATTATCCAACACTTAAATATACTGCTTGCAACATTGACATGTGCCTATGTGACAGCAATGTATGTACGTCCCTTGTGATTTGTAATGACGAATTCAACTTGGAATGCGAATTTATTATGTTTCAAAGACTTTATTATGTTACCTACTTGTAGAAGAAGCAGACCAAACATTACACACAATTTGTGAAGCCAAAAAGCAAACATGCGCAAATTAGTTTCAAGTTCAACGAAAATTTATACATAGTAGATATACAATCGTGTATCTATTACTAGTACTACTATTGTAAAAACAATTTTGTAGTACCTATGACTCAATATGAAATTAGTAAATTAGTAATTTTTAGTTTAAAAAAATTCTCAGTAGTAGCACGGAGTCTGGAATTGTGCCCGGTATATGGCAACAGGCTCACCCCCTATTTATTACAATGAAATAGGTATGTCAAACAAAAATTGTAGATCATTTTGTAATCATTGTCTTTACCTTTATTCAGAACACATAAAATTTTTGAGAAAAAAACAATTAATTTTTTTTTACGCTGTAAAACAGAAATGTAAGTATTCTCTTATTTACAAACAATATAAACTTTACTACTAAGTATTACTTTGTATTATCTTTATTTAATTACAGGGTTTACTAAGTATTACTTAATATATACAACTTATGATACAAAAAGATGAAAATTAAATAAAACTAAACCAAATATATCTATTTACACAAAGCATCGAAACCGATACGCTGTATTGTCTTTAATATGTACACCCGGCCACACATTAATCCATCTATAAATAACCAGTTTATCCTGGTGTCGCTTCGCATCACCTTTCCGCACATTTAACGTTCAGTTTATACTGGATATATAATGCTCGATGTGTAGCCGTGTGTACAAGTTCCCACTAATAGTTTTTTTTTTTTATGGAATAGGAGGCAAACGAGCAGACGGATCACCTGATGGTAAGCGATCAGCGCCGCCCATGGACACCCGCAACACCAGGAGAGTCAGGAGTCAGTCATCAGTTTTGTTGTCTAAATTACTAGACTAGTTTAAATTATTAACTTACTACTTTTATTATTAAAATTGAAATTATAAAATTCGAGTCTATGGTACAGCTTGTGCTTGTGCCTATTCGCTAGTATCCAGTTAATAAAAAGTTAAGGTTGGGCATGATAAATAAAAAAACTAAAAACGAGACTGCAATGCAATGTAGTGTTTTCTTAATTTTTTATGAAAATACTAAATCTTACGTCCATTTTTTGTTCATGATAATTATCCCAAATAAGTGTTTGGGTTATGGAGTCACCGCCATTTTCAACACATTCTGAGGCACCTCCTTTAAGTGAAGATAGTGGTCTTATAATTACAAGTGGATCGTTTTCTAGTGATTCTGCCAGTGGATGGCATCACGTCGCATCCGAGGTGAGCTATTAATTAGAAATTTTCTTGACACTGTTATTTCATAATATATAAAGTGGTAATTCTTATAATTCCTATAATTTTTGCCACCTTTTTTAATCATGTGCTAAGAAACATGTAAACACAATAATTACGTATCTGTCTAGGACCTTCAAGCCATAGAAACCAAAACAAGGATAATTGGAATGTAAAACGAACTATAGTGGCTGTAAATTATAATATAATTATTCAGTAATGAGTCATGTTTTACTATTGGTCTTGTCAGTGTCGTCTTGTGCTTTGCTCGTTGCGATTTTTTCTGTTATATCTATGTTTTTAATATTGTATCAAAATATTGTTCAATGTCACATTTTTCTTTTGATGCCTTTTTCTGTATAGTTCTTTGCATTGGTTGCCACAGCTGTTTGATATGAATTTACTTGGATGTTAACACTTTCACTGTCTATGCATAACATGTAATGCACTTATGAGTTACGTCCATATTATTATGTCCATGCTAAAAATCACCAAGAATAGTGTTGTTCATGAGAAACTTGAAAAATGAAACAAATCAAGAAAATAATGACTCCCTATCGACTCTCCAGAAAAAAAAAGACTAACTAGATTGCCATATATCTAAATTGTAAAAAAAAGTAAAACTTGGTAGGTATATTTTATTTTAATCAAACAAAAATGGAAAATGGTTTCTCTTACTAAAATTAAACTTAATAATACTTCTTTTTATTTCTTTGGGGGGTCTAAGCTAATGAACTTTTCTTGAGATATAATAAAGTCACCTCTGTAACAACTGTATTTCTACAATTCTCATATTTACCTGAAAACATTATATACTATCATGTTTCCACATGCTTGTACAACACTATTGGTCCATAACGGTTGAATTTCATACATTGTTCATGCATTGTATATAATAGTCTTGAAGTCGACGATCAAGTGACACCAGGTGATTAACAAGATTCTGAAAGTTATCAGCAAAATATAGCAAAAATATACTTTTTAAATTACAATGACTTATGTATTATTTTTATGACAATCCACATGCTGTGCCAGTATTTATTCTTTCTTTCTTTCTACTCTTGTTGCTACAATTATTTAGTTTTTATTCTATATTTTTGCTTACGTTATCCTGAATAGCACTTCAATATTATAGAATCATGCATTCTGGGCTGATTCTCCAAAATCCCTGAAATAATTGTGTCGGTCTATGTGCCTGACACTCTGTGTAGTTTTTTGTATTCCGTGTACTCAACAGACTTATGTTGAGTTTCCCCCGAAAGAATGGTAGTAATTGTTTGTGTTTAATGTTACAGTAACTGTAACAATGCTATATAAAAACGCAAAATGTGTTGACCTACTACATTTAAAGTCCTATGCTACGCCCCCTTCGGAGCTGCGGAGAACTTAACAGTTTACCGGGGCTCCGGGTCGAGGTGCAGGAGTAGAACGGGGTGGTATTTTGTCAGTAAGAGTGACATTTCCTCTCGCCTCACCCAGGCGGGAGAAGTCATTCGATGATTTTTCCCCTTAAAAAAAATGCTATGCCCCCTAGATGGGGCAGAGGGCGTCCACAGAGGTTCTCCAACTTTATCGGTCTTGAGCTTCAAGCTTCACCTCGCTCCACGTGGTTCCGATACTCGTCGCTTCCTCCACCACAGTAAGCCGCCAGGTTTGCCGAGGACGGTAACGCTTGCTTTTCCCTTGGGAATTCCAGACCAAGGCTTGTTTATGAATGTGTCAGAATCCCCATTCGATCCCGCGGCGCCGTTTGTCTATAATTCGAAGCATAATTCCGTCCAGGACTACCAGGAAAAGGAGTGATGACAGAAGGTAGCCTTGGTGGACACCTGCGTGCATCGTTATACATTTTCATGACCAATTTCCTCTTAGTCAAAAACCCGCAAAATACTTCACTGAGTCCTATAATGAAATGCTATGTTTGTCAACTGCGGCTTTGGTAGCGGATTGAGTAGCGGTGGTCGTCAAAACACGTAAAAAATACTTGCTGACTAATAACTAACCTAACTACAGTTAATATATACTTCGTCAGATCACACAAATGTGAAAAATTTAAGCGTTAGTCTGGCGTATAATATCACTTCACAAAAAATTATGCTAACAATAAAGTGGATTCCAATCAGGAGTAAACGGCTGAAAATAGTACTTTTTTAGATGTTTGGGCGGCTGCCATTACTCAACCCACCACTGGTCCCGCAGCTGACGCTGACGAAGCTTCAACATATATTCCTTGACGAATCCCACAAGTTATCGACTGAGAGAAATCGACTGAAAAAAATTAGTGCCTAGTATACCACCCATATGGTGGCCATGTGTAGGCGTACAGTGGCGCGCAAATTAAAGATAGAAATTGTAAGAATAACATGAATAACAATAGTCCTACACTAACCGGGGACTGTCCTTGGGTGCATTTCCATAGTGCATACAGGGATAGTCGCCGGTTTGTGTCTCCATTACATTTAGATTAAAGTTGTCTAAAGGGCCTCTGCGCAGTTGGCTTCGACCCCTCGTACGCCTCCTAAATGACCGGGACCCTGTGGTCCCGTGAATGGTAAAGACATGAATAATTCAAATAAAAATGCACAATAAAATGTTAGTAAATAATAATAATAATAATCTTTATTGTACACCTTAAATCAATAGAATATACATGTAATGTTATAATAAAGAATAGTAGGGTACAAAGGCGGCCTTATCACTAAAAGCGATCTCTACCAGGCAACCTTTGGGTGAATGGAGCACTATTGAATGAAAGTGAAGGTTGTTCTGGGTGTACTCAGGTACTTATAAATTATATGTACAAGTAAAATATATATTCTCTAAATAAATTTATTTACTTACATAAAATTTGTCATACAAACAAAAATATATAGATATATACATACAACATATATAATATATTTAGACAAGTAAACGTTACACTCCTGCTCCTTTAACCTCTCATAACTCGGTCTGAACTAAAATTTCCATATATAAGTCCATAGCCAATTTCGTTTGTGTCATGTCATGACATAGATTAGGCAGTGCCCTTTAACACAAATTATAATTATGACTTCTTGCTGTGGTGCAACTCGGCATTATACTATGACTTCTTTCTGTGGTCCAACTCAGCATTAGTGTATATTATAACATGTCATTCAATCAAGCAAAATATGTCATTTTTAAATATTTGTTGCATGGCTTAAATAATGGTTAATATGTCTGCGGTAGAGATAAGTGTAGGAAGCATATTTGCGCCGAATATTTCGACTTGGTTAAGTCACCTTTTTTTTTTTCGCCCGGTGAAAATGCCGTGCATACCCTGCCTCGTGGGGCCGAGGCCGGGTTATGTGGGGCTCAAACCCACTAAAAACCCCGGGGTGTGCCACTCACGCATGAGGGCGGGCCACAAGAACTGTACTTTCGCACTTCGGTCGCGACCCGCCCTGCGCCAGCCCGGCTTGACGAGACGCCGGACTCCTTCTCCTGCGGCGGCGCCCGCGCACACCGCGGATGCTGCCCTTTCTCGGGGCACTGCGACGTGGGCGACCGGTTGCTCTGACCGGCCGCCCCCTGCCCCACTAGCTACTAGAGAGGAGGAAGGAGGCGGGCATACCCGCGCCTCCTCCGTCCCGTTCGCCGTCTTCGCGTCGGATGCGAGAGGGGGTTGTCCTCCCTCTCGCGCTCCGACGCCTCCTACTGCGACATGACTGCGTCGCAGAAGGAGACCATCGCCTCCCACGACCTCTGGCCGCCGACCATAGCACTAACTACGGCAGGCAGCGAGAGGTCGGCACCGACTGGTTAAGTCACCTAGATCAACTAACTAGAAAACACCGGTACCGGCGACAAATTTGTTGTTTTGTTGTCACCACTCGGCAACCACACAATGAATCACGAGGTGATATTTATGGAAATAGACGGAATATATTCCCTAGTTCTGTAACGCACAGAGCAACAAATACATTAAGAACTCACTAGCCAGTAGACAAAACTTAGCACCTCGATATACCTATGACAATGTCCGATATCCGCTTCTGAAAAGAAAGTAGCAAAGTCTCGACTCAAACGCGTGCTTAAGAGTCGAAATTGTTACAGTATTCTAGTGGCCGATCGTCCACTCAACACTATTGCTCGAGATAAACCTAGAGCCTAGACGTAGTAAAAAGGTTTAATATAAAAGGCATAAAATCTTTACTGGTCATTTAAATCACACGTAAGCATAATAATATGAATCGCGGAGAACCTAACGGGTAACCGGGGCTCGGGCTCGACGTGCAGGAGAAGGAACGGGGTGGTTTTTAGTCAGTAAGAGTCTGACACTCCCTCCCGCCTCACCCAGGCGGGAGCAGTCATTCAAAGACTTTCCCCCCTTAAAGAAAAGCATAATAATATGGTTAAACTTTTAGAAAGAGAGATAACATTTATTATCAAAGTTGAAGTTATACTACGGTTACTGTTGTACAATAATGTACCTTAAAAATAACCGATTTCGTTTAAAAAGACAATCGTCGTAAAGTATCATTAGGTCTTGCCTTCAAATACTCTGTATCATTATAACGTAAATAAGAAGCTTGATTTACTACAAGCATTATTTTAACGTACTTAAAGATTTGTATTTCTTCCATGTAGTTACAAGAAAGCGACTTCGATGACAAATCATTGTCTCTTTGTGAATCAACTGAAACATCAGAACGCATGTGTGGGGATTTTTTTAATACTGTGAAGAAAGGGCCTGGGAAAGTAATACTTACAACTATTGAACCACCGCCAGAATTTCAGGTATGTTGTAGTGATTTTAGAAGTACAGTAGAAACTCGATTAACCGGACTAATTATTGTCGGTAGGCATTCGGATAATCGATAATGGATAATCGATAATCCGGATAATCGAATGTACTCAGAAAAGCGGGTTTTGTGTATACATAGGTACATATGTTGTACATACGATGTTATGTATGTCATTTATTACGATTCATCACCCCTTAACTCGTCGAGTACCGGTTTTGTAGACACAATTATAGAACAATAGGTTGCGGTCACCGGTGACCGCTTGGTGTTTGACAGTTTAATTTTTTATTTAACTGTAATGCTTTTTCACAGAGCAGAGGAACGGATATCGGTTGCCCAGTTGATAGTTTTTGTAAAAACCAACAATACAAAGCGTCTTCTAAAAGTATATTTTTCGGTTTCTTCATAATTTTCCAATGTTTACTTCCCGTCTTCACTATATAATTTGCAGGTGTACAACAAAATTGAATCAGTATTCTTCTTAAACTGTCAAACACCGCGAGGACACCGGTGACCGCAACCTATTGTTCTTTAATTGTGTCTATAATGACGGTACTCAACGAGTTAATATCACTAATCGTGGATGTACCTACACCATACTGATCAACTAACTTACGACCGGGTTCTCCTTTTTTTAATGAATCAATAATATTTATTTTGTGTTTAAGCGATAATGTCACTATTCTCTTACGTTTTGACATTTTTAAATATGCAGACGTGATACAAGGCAGCGATCGCGCAGGGCGCGTGCATAAATTTGACTTGTAGGTTATTTTAATATAATGAGTCGGTAGTCCGGATAATCGCGAATCAGTATAACTGAGAGCCGGATAATCAAGTTTCTACTGTATTGTAAAACGTCATGCCCCACCAAGTGAGTTAATAGCTTTGTAGTAAATTGGCAATAAATTAGAACCCAACATTGTGATTTACATTACAAATCAAATATTGAGTGATGTGGAGGAATCCACATGTAATGAATTAAGTAGGTATGTTGTTTATGTTAAGTCAAAGCCAGTCATACATAATAACCGAATTGCTTAGTTAATGTGATAAATTAATCACATTATACGGATATTATTTATAACAGTATGTCCAAGTTATAAACATAGCTAAAGTAATAAACATATACTATCCAACTAACTTAGGCTAAAGACTCGAGAAGCGGTTTTCACCGCACCCGTCGTAGTTGTGGCCGCAACTACGGCGGGCGCGCTGAAATGCCTTTGTAGAATACACTAATACAGATATACAGAGTGTCCCCGAAGTTGACGTTCAAATGGCACCAGGTGATAAGCAAAGTTCCAACAGTTATCAGAAAAATATAAAAAAATCAAAGTCATATAATTTTTAAATTACAATGACTTATAATGTGTTATCTGCGAAAAGAAAGAAAGAAACGAAAGATTGTAATATTTAACGAACCAAGTATTCGCAATAAATTTTTCACGTTAAATTGTAGTGTGTAAGTGTGTAAAGTGTGTAAAGTCTAGTAGTGGCAAATTTCACCAGAGTTAAAGTAATCCTTATATTTAATGGGCCACCATTAAATATAAGGATTATAAAATAGTCTACCACTTTCCACTATTTCTTAAATTCGATACAAAAAAGAATATTTTTCAACGAAACTGTTTCTATTTCGACCTATTTATTTGGACTTACTAAAATTTATTCTAGTGTACCCAAAGTGTACCAAAAAATCGGGTATTCACCAGGTAACACTTTGCACGCGACATGTCGTCATCATGTCGCAAAACATGTTGGAAATCGGGAACGAGGGTCTCTCGTTAAACCGCATCGCCTGACTACTCATGATTTCGCTAGCAGCATTCGTCGCCAATATTGTCGATAGTGGATCACACGTCCCGCTGAAGAACATTTACTACCGTATTTATTATACTTTAATGCCTCTACTACCGAACCCAGACTTATACCACAAATCTTTCTAATTACCTATATTCTAAGCTAAGAAGCTTTTGCTAAATAATTTAATGTTAGGAACTTGTTTTCCTAAGATTTTGAATTTAAAATTTGAAAGTCACCACTGCAAGTAACTTCATACTCATCAAATTTTCATCACTAACTAAACTCGTCAACCATAAGCTTTTGAAGTGACAACAAGGTTACCTACCTTAAATAAGAAAAATAACAACAGTAGCTAAATTTATTTATAAGTATAAAGTAATATGAATGGTTTGACAATAAGATTTTGTGTCTACTTCTGTAAAAGCGACAGACGCGAACGCACACAGTTTAACCTTCAGTGGTTAATTTTCGTAAAAATTGACCGGTGGTGTTTGGAGATTTCATCATAAGAGAGTTAGTTAAATTATAGAATTATTATGTTTTTGAATTGTTATTATTTATCACTGCATTGTCATAAGCATAAGTAAAACGATTTCTTCACATTTCCATATTTGAATGATCACTACTTTACTTATACTACCATAAAAATAGACCAAGATTTCAAGGTTTGAATGGTAAGCAAATTACCTAGTTCTGTTCCTTGCAATGATCATACATAATATCTAAATGTATGAAATGAAACATCGTTAAAAAATTATATAAGACTAGCTTCTGCCAGCGGCTTCGCCCTCGTTCCCAGGGATAAAAAGTAGCCTATGTGTTACGCCACAGCATAATCTACCTGTTTCAAATTTCATCCGGCTCCCTTCAGCCGTTTTGATGTGACTGAGTAACGAACATACACACAAACAAACAATCTTACATATTTTCACATTTATAATATCGGTTCAAGCTAATTTCAATCTTCGGCCCTTTTTTTTAAGGTGGGAAAATCATCGAATGGCTGCTCCCGCTTGGGTGAGGCGGGAGGGAGTGTCAGACTCTTACTGACTAAAAACCACCCCGTCCCTACTCCTGCACTTGGAGCCGGAGCCCCAGTAACCCGTTAGGTTCTCCGCGACTCCGTATCGGCATCAGCCCTTTTGGGCCCCATTCGTGGTGGTCTGATGGCTCTTTGAAGCGCGCGTGGAACGCGACGCGCCGTACGCTCGGGTCTGATTTCTGATCGGTAGGCCCGATGGCCGGAGATCGTCTCGCGATCCCCGACGCCCGGAGTGTCGTTCGCGACGGCTGGATTATGAGGAGGCAGCGATTCGCTGCCTCATGCGCCCCGCCTACTCCTTAGCTAGCATGGCTGCTTCGAAAAAGGAGAAGACGGCATCCCAGTCCCCCTCGCTCCGCATCATGGCCCGCACTAGGGCCGGACGCGACAGGTCGCCGTCGCCGATCACGTCCCTGAGGGCACGGCGGTGCTCAGCCCACGCAGGGTATTCTCCGACTGAGTGTTCCACCGTGTCCTCAGGGCGGTCCTCGCAGTGATGACACCCGGGCGTTTCCTCCCGCCCTATCAGACACAGGTACCTCCCGAAGCTCCTATGTCCGGTCAGGACCTGCGTCAGGCGCTAGGTGAGGACGCCGTAGCGTCTATTAAGCCACTCCTCAAAGAGGGGACTTACCGCTGCGATGGCAGCGAGCTCAGCCCTCGGTTGCGACAGTCGTTGCAGCCATTCCGCCATGAGATCGCGCCTGAGCTCTTCACGCCACGCACTAATCTGACGCGGCAATGGAGTTTCTCCCCGGCGACGTGCCACCGCGCGCAGACTGAATACTATCCGTATAATGCACCTTCGCCTCCAGATCCCACGACGATAATCCGGCAAACCGTCGGCCCTAAGTTCACTGCGGGCAACTTAACATTCGACAAACTTATAGTTACGTTGCGGTACAGTAACTGTGTCTATGGATTGAGCGCACAATTAAGTTTGTTTTTTTGTGTGTGTACATTTTCGAGATATAAAGTACCCCGTGTTGTGCCCAGGATTTAAAGTATAATCATTCATACCAAGTTTCATCGTAATCGGACCGGCAGTTTTTGCGTGATGCGTAAACATAGAGAGAGACAGGCAGACCAAAATATTTTAATTACATTTTTGTGTTCGGTGTCTATCTCTAGTCACAGACCTTGCAATTTTTTTTCAATATACAGAATTTACTCATTACAGTTTTATTATATGTACAGTACAGTACAGTTTTATTATTTGCATTATTTTTGCGATACAATTCCAGAAACGTAAAAGGGTGAAATAGAGTTGAGACATTTCGTAGGTTGTCCTCAAAGTCTGTACTCTATGCGTGCGAAATCGCGGGCGTCAGGTAGTTGAGAATATGTATAATGTTCTTATGTGGTATATGATCAGATGAAGAAACGTTTCTCTAGTCTCCGAGTACCTACCTACATATTTTTTAAGAACTCACGCAAATAATCACGCATATTACCTTCTTACCGGATTGAATGTGGTATATTTCTGTTATAAACTTATGCCGGAATACTGAAACGTTACTCAATTTTAAGTCGTGCTTAAATATCGTGCCATCTCTGTCATTTCACAAAGAATTAGTGGTGACAGAACTATACTTAAGCGCGACTTAAAATTGAGTAACGTTTGAGTATTCAGGCAATATTAATATTTAATTGACCATTTACCGTAAGTAGGTAGGTAAATTTAATATTTATAGCAGACACACAAACTGCTAAATTTTATAGCATTTTTTCAACATATTTTTTTTTGCATATTATCTGCTTACATACTACGTACAAACTGCACAGTGCATACTGCTCCTGCTCGCTTATAGTCATACTTAACGTAGTTGAGGTAGCACACTTAACTGGCACGGTTCCAACCCAGAAATTAACTTGTCATTTAAAAAAATCTACACAATGACATATTTCATAGCGTTTATATAAAAAAAGTTGTAAGCGCGTCGCCTGCGCGCTGACAGTACGCTTAAAGCCTTTTTCTGTGGTTTCCTAAGCAATAAACGCCGTGCCGTAGCCGTGCCGCAGCCATGCCGTTATTGTGTGCCATGTCCCTTAATTTTAAGCACTAGCTTTTATAAGGTACTTTTTATGCCTTTTTTTACCATACACCTAATTGTTAACTATTATAATCATCCATCTTCGTTCTTTTGGAAGAAGAATAGATAAATATAATAAAGTATTATTCACAGCTCAATTATTTTTTTCTAGGATAGCCCCGCACCGGATGACATAGAGAAATGCCCAACTGTACACGTGCCTCCCACGGTCGTCTTTACCCATGATGCTACAGATAAAGGCAATACATCAAACTTAGATGTAGCCATTAATATAAGACATATTTCACCTATATATCCAAGAAAGTTGAAGCCAGAAACATTGTATGAAAGGCGTCAATGTTTGAATCATAGGTTCGCGAGTCCAAGACTTCTTCACTTGAGTCCGTGTCGTGTTAATCGACCTTCGTCAAGGAATTCGCTGTCATCAAGATTGTCCAGCAGCCACAACTCACTTGTGACTCAATTCCAAGCTGACGATTCCAGTTTCATCACGCAAGCTATCTCGCATGATACTCTGACTGCAAAAACCTCCGACATTACTGATATGTACAATGTTCCGTTCGATAGCGATATTTACGCGGTACCTATTGATATGGTTCGGCCTTGTCAGAGCAATATAAGAAGTAAAGGGAAGAAACCACCTCGAAACAACAAAAAGCGTGGCAAAAATACAAATCAGAATACAGCCCCTAATATCACTGCCATTGACAAAAGTTTTAAGTCAAAGGATACTAACAAAAATAAAGAAGTTAAAACTAAAAGGCACAGCTTGCCAAGTTCATCTTGTAAAAAGGGTACTGGGGATTCGGACACAGATTCATTACATTTAACTTTACGCGAAATGAGGAAATACCTGCATACTCTTTATTCCAGTTCCAGTGATTCAGAATGTAGAGCTACTATTAATAGGAAAAATAATCCTATAGTGAACAATGTTGGTATACACGCGAAACATTTAGGCAAAGAAGCTAGTTCGGCAGTGTTTTTAAAAGAAAGTAACGATATTTCTAGAACAGTTGAGACAAATAATAACCATAGAAAAGCTAATAAAAATTCGTTTGGAATGAACGCCAAAAATAAGAAACATAAAGAAAATATTCCTAAAGAAGCGATTGAAATAGATAAGAGTGAAAAAATTGTTAAAAAGAGTATTTCAACTCAAAATCAGAAGGTTAAAATGTCGCCAGTAAGAATATTATCGATCAATTTGAAACAGAGCTTTTGTAATTTATTTCGTTGGCGACGACAACCCGTGGCGGAGAATGCTAATGATGTTGAGAAGGTGGGTGACAGCAAGGAGGACTCTCCGCCTGCAGCAGTGCGCCGTGCATTACCACCTTTGCCGCAGACACCGCACGTGCACGCAGGACCTCGCCGATCTAACAATGAAGAAGATACTGTCATGGATTTCGCCACTTCTATACAAAAAGTGAAAGATGTAAGTAGTTGAACGTGAACACTGAAACATCTTTTCTTATTTACCTGTCAATATTTTGTGCAATTTTTTCCTACTTAAATATTAATGTTAATTTTGTAAAGTCATAAAATGACCTGAAAATAACTAGTATTAAAATGTTTACATTCTAAGGCAGCGTTTCCCAACCTTTTCAACCCGCGGACCCTTTGGAAATCAAGACCAATTTTCATGGACCCCCTTACTAGATTACAGATACGAATAAAAAAACAACTAAAGAAGGTTGTTAATATGAAAAAAATCAAACAAATTAATGTGAAAGTTCGTGTTGCTTTTTTGAAACTAAATTAGGGATATTCGGGTTGATGTCGCTACTGCTTAGTAGTAGTGTGGGAGAGCCGTGCTTTGGCACGAATGGGCCGGCTCGACCGGAGTGATACCACGGCCTCACAGAAAACCGACGTGAAGCAACGCTTGCGTTGTGTTTCGTCGTGTGAGTGAGGTTACCGGAGGCCCAATTACCCTCCCCTTCCCCAGTCTCCCCAATTCCTGAATCCCCAACGATCCTAAAACTCCTAATCGCCAAAAGGCCCGTAACGCACTTGTAACGCCTCTGGTATTCCAGGTGTTCATGGGCGACGCCTATCGCTTACCATCGTTTACCGGCTTATGCCATAAAAAAGTAGTCTGTAATCTCAAATCAGATTCTACTTTGTTAGCTGTTTTAGCGTCCCTTTTGCATTTAATGAGCGATTTATGTGTGGTCCAGAGATGACACCGCGGACCCCCAGGGATCCGCGGACCAAAGGTTGGGAAACGATGTTATAATGTATAGAAAAATGTTTGTTTAGGTCGAAAACGTCTTCTAATGTGAAGAATAACGTGAAAAATGAGCATGAAACTAATTTTGAATACACGATATAACTTGAAAGGTTTTGTCTTTCAGTACGGTTGGTATTGGGGCCCGATATCGGTGGAAGCTGCTGAGAAAATTCTTTCAAACGAACCTGATGGCTCGTTTATAGTCCGGGACAGCAGTGACGACCATTATATTTTCACTCTGACGTTTAAGTTGAATGGTCTTAGACATGTAAGGATTGAACATGATCAGGGTAAGAGGAACCTTCACTCGTTATTATTGCTTCTATCAGTAGCTACTACTGTCTTGAAGTGTAAACTGTATACCAGTGGACCAAAACGTAAATACTTAGAATCGACCCTTAGTTTTGATTCCCAGGTTGAACAAGCAAAGTATAATTCCATTTCAAAGATCAAATTTTAATATATGTCTCATATCAGCCTTGACTTCTGTTAATGTGTATTATTATTTAATTATCATATTATCTGTATATTAGTGTGTACCTCAATTTTAGTCCCTTCACCTAGTATTGTATATGTTTTATAAAATAGTTTTCTTTCTTTTTCAGGTAATTTCTGTTTTGGTGGCTGCACTATGTTTAAAGCTCAAACCATAGTAGAATTCATAGAGAATGCAGTAGAGACGTCCCGAAGCGGCCGTTATTTGTTCTTCTTGAACCTGAGGCCTGTGCTTGGTCCAGTACGAGTTCAACTGCTATACCCGGTTTCAAGGTTTAAACGTGTGCAGAGTCTTCAGCACATGTGCAGGTGAGCAACTTGATTTTTATACGCTTTTATTTGACTATATGTATATTTCAATGCAATGAGAAGAGATCTATAATCAATTGAACTAATATAGGTATTGTATATACGTTAAGTTTCGATGACAATGCAAGTTTGAAAACAATTAATGGTTTTATTTCAGATTTGTGATATTAAAGTACGTGCGTCGAGACCTCATCAGTAACCTACCTCTACCTAGGCGTCTCGTAGACTACCTGAGTGCAACTCACTACTACTCGGAGCTTCTCGCCGATATGTAAGGCCCACCTACGAAGTAGGTCAACATCACTTTTTCATAACCCCGTGATGTGACAATATTATGCCTATGTATAGCTTTCACTGTTTAGGTATAACACACGAGTACCTACAGATTATTACAATTCATTTTAATGAATTTATCTTTATTCGTCTTTATTTATTATTATAAGCGACTGAACATAGGGACACATGAAATCATCAGCGATTTTGACACACTTGTCTGTAGAATTTAGCACATCGTCACATAAAAAAACTAAACAAAATAATTTAAATGTTAGGACCGTGTTAATCGAGTTGTTGTTCGTTTTAGAAAAATGTAGGTAATATTATTCTGTGTGATATTATAACTTATAGCTTATAAAAACAGCAGCCTGCCTTCAAGTATATGTTTTTATAAAATCAGACTTTAGACGATATTTTAATCAACCTTTTGTTTTCGGAAACTGTCGAAAAGTTCCTATGGCGATAATAATCTGAAGAGAATAGCGATCGACACTGACTAGGCACAGAACATCCTCAACTGTAGTCATCGTAGAATAAAAGGTGAACTCTGACATTTGTCAATCTATTTACCAGTGTTATATCTTGTTATGAACTTGCTGGAACGTCCACGCAAAAAATTAATCGAATCATACCATAATCTTATAATCAAAATCAATAAATCCCCTAAATTTGTTCATACAAAAGTAGTCTCTAAACATTGGAAATGTCGCGGAGAACCTAACGGGTTACCGGGGCTCCGGCTCGACGTGCAGGAGAAGGAACGGGGTGGTTTTTAGTCAGTAAAAGTCCGACACTCCCTCTCGCCTCACCCAGGCGGGAGCAGCCAATCGATGAAATTCCCCCCTTAAAAAAAAAGAACATTGGAAATAAGGTCTATAATGTAGTTAGTGGAGAGCGGTCACTGGTGACCGCTTGGTGTTTGACAGTTTAAGAATATAATTTATACGAATCAAAGGACAATGCCCAAAAATTATTGGAGCATAATCCACAATCGATAACATTATTTATGTGGCAAGATAGAGTATCCATAGTATAATTATCCTAAATTAAATATTTGTTTTCGATGAAATCAAGTAATAAAAACGGACTAGTATAACATGGTCTCTTTTCTATGATCTTACCGCAGATTTAACAGTCAGTTTATACTGGATCTCTGAACAAAATCTGGAACTAATTAACTCGTCGAGCACCGTCAATATAGACACAATTAAAGAACAAACCGCTCGGTGTTTGACAGTTTAAACTGTCAAACACCAAGCGGTCACCGGTGACCGCAACCTATTGTTCTATAATTGTGTCTACAAAACCGGTACTCGACGAGTTAATGTCTATAATCTGGAACTAATGTAGAACAAACAAAGACAATTATTCACTTTGCAATACTGCAGGCTCCTAGTTCTTCTGTTGTTACATTTTTGTCCAAAACTAATGCCTTTATGTAACCTCATCTATGTCTGATGCCATTGATTCGTCAATGCTCTACACAGTCTCGCGCTATTTCGGATATTCGTGAGATATTGCTGCATTTTACAAACCGTAATTATTTTAACTCGATATAACTCAGGAATCTGTCATAAACGACAACCGATCTTATTTACCTCTCACTTCATGGCAATTGTCAGACTGAACTTTTATTTTATGACGACAACAAAATATGTTCCCACTGAATATGTTTTATTCTAATAACCGCTGTAGTTAAACATCTTGTATTAATGAACACAGGATGGTTACGAAATGAATGCTCAACGTGTCGTATGATGACAGCAGCACCAAAAATATAGAATCATCTGATAGAGAATAACAAAACAAAGACACCTAAGCAACGATTAGAAATATCGATACAAAATGTAATCGTGAGTGAGACGAATTCGCGAAAATGACGGAGACTAAGAATAGATTAAAAAAACGTACAAATATTATTGGATATAAACAATTCTAAATATTTTAAATACATATTCTATTGTACTGTTATATTGCTTTGAAGTCGTGATCGTGGCTACTTACGCGATGGACTTTTAACTGTTTACGCTTAAATTGAATGAATTAATTGAGTAACAAGAATGGGTTAGGCGGCAAGCATCGTAAAACACCCGAATTTTTGGGTCGCTATTATGTATCGCTGTGTTTATTAAGGTGTGTAATTAATAATTCTAAATAATCGTAACATAGTGGGTATTTCTATTTGTGAAACTATTGCTAATATCAGTCCGGTATCTAAACTAGATTTACGGTATTGTCGTTATCAAAAGAGCCCGCTTGTAAGTATATTATTTTCTGAACGAGGTTATATTGGTCTAAATTCGGTATTTATTGACTCTTAGCTAGATAATCCTGATTTTAAAGTAATCAATTTTAGGTACAGCCCAAATATGCACCAGTAACATTCTCTGTGATACGTAATCAATACGTGTAACTACCAACTTTTGGTAAAGACGTAGAATACACGTATGAGATTTGCTCTTAAACTAACACTTATTGATTTTTATTTTATTCTGAAGTGACCTTTGCGCTGCAGCAGTTGTTATTATTAAAGATATACATAGACGAGGTAAATAAAACATTCTAAAATTCAAATCTGTATTTTTGGGTACAAGTGGGCTGTAACATACTTATAAAATTAGCATTAATTGGTATAGCGTACGTTTTACAACTTGTATAAGGAACAAGGTTGTTTAGAAAGAGTATTTAAATAACTACCTGCGAGGAGATAATTTCTCTGATTGAGGTTGATTGAGAATCCGGCCACCGTGCAGCAGGGTTGTGACATGAACTATGTCCAGCTGAGGTATGCGTAGAAATTGCTACATTTTGTCACGTAGGTATATTGTAGTTATGCATTGTAGACCCTGCTTCAATGTTGTGGCCTGTAATTACCTATCGCCCCTTTATTTCAAGGGCAATACGGCTATGAACATTTATATAGTGTGATTGGCGTAACAAAACGTAAACTACTGGCGCCGTAATTATGTATCTCTCTTCAAGGAATCTGTAGAATTATCTCTTTTTATGAAAGGAAATTTATAAGTGCCTCTGCATTTTACACCAATTAATATAATAGCTGTAAACCGTAAAAATAACTCTTATTTTTGTAAAGAACAGAATTTTCACGATTGCTATTTAGGTAGAAATGGATTATCGCTTAAACACTGTTGCTCATTAACATTCAGAATAACCACAATTGCCTATGTGGGTGACACGATATGGTCACGAAGTTATTGGAATCAATTTCCTCCTTCTGTGTATCAAGTGTAGCATCAGAACACAAAACTGTAGGTTTTATAGACAATGCCACAACGACGGCGGTGTTGTTAGCCTGTAATTATTGGTTAGTACTTGACGTAATTACAGAAAGTTGTGTGACTACTACTAGTAGGAGATCCCGCCTTGAACGACCTTCACCGAGATGCTTATTTGATGAAACTTATTTTATATTCAATTTAATATGTCAATAATTATATTCCGTATGGGTTGCCTAATAAATTTCAGTCCAGAACATGACTAATTATTAATTTAAAAAATATATTTTTTCAAATGTTTCACCGGTTTGACTATTAAACAAATTCCATTTCAATCGAAAGTATGAAGCCCATAGAATATGGAAACGTTAGGTTGCCTATTGTATTCCAGTCATAACTCTCGGGTTGCCAGGTCTAAACAGGTAAATTTATAGTAGGATTTTGCAACGGTCTGATAATTTAATCAAATTTAATTAAAAATAAAGATTATTTAATTATGAACACGGTAAAATAGGGTTGCCTGCGAAAAATCAGTCCTGAATTAGGGTTGTCGAATTTTAAAAAGTGAAATATTGCCGCGAGTGAATAGGTAAGACTGAGAGGTCCCAAGCAACCGTTCCGTGCGTTAGAAGAGGACAGAGCATAACAGCTGCTTTTTAATGCTGCTGCTGCTATTTTTGTGTCATTAACAGAAGCTGCTGATATTTTCATTGAAGATAAAATAAAAATAGTTCAAGAATTTATAGCTTGTATGTACATATGGGATTAAGAATTGCACTAATGTGAATAATGCAAGATATCGCATTATTATGAAAAATTACTCTGCTAAAGAAGACAGTGAGCAGTTTCTAAAAAAAACACCTCCGGGTGGGTCTCAAATAACGGCACGAGGGGTTACCATCGGCGTCGAGACGACGATGAAGTACCCAAAAAATTTTTATTAAAAAAAATGAAAAGCAATTAAAAAAATCACTGTTTATATAAAGAAATATATTTTTTTATTATTCAGCTCCTGAGTCATCGGAAATAAAGCTTAGATCTTCGACACCTGCACCTTCTTCGTCATCTCTCTCTGTTTCGCTTCTTTCGACAATATCATCTATTCTTAAAGGTGTATGATCCCCAATGAATCCTCGTGGTTTTAAATATTCATCTAAGTACCAACCACAGCTCTCAGGTTTAAGTTTGATACATATTGGATCTGTTGCATTCAGCCACATCGAATTTACTTAAATAGTTTGTAAAACTTTTTGTGGTAATGATATCCAGCACGGAGGTATGGAGTTAGAGTCAAAGCCTTTGATTTTTTTTAGAAACTGCTCACTGTCTTCTTTAGCAGAGTAATTTTTCATAATAATGCGATATCTTGCATTATTCACATTAGTGCAATTCTTAATCCCATATGTACATACAAGCTATAAATTCTTGAACTATTTTTATTTTATCTTCAATGAAAATATCAGCAGCTTCTGTTAATGACACAAAAATAGCAGTAGCAGCATTAAAAAGCAGCTGTTATGCTCTGTCCTCTTCTAACGCACGGAACGGTTGCTTGGGACCTCTCAGTCTTACCTATTCACTCGCGGCAATATTTCACTTTTTAAAATTCGACAACCCTAATTCAGGACTGATTTTTCGCAGGCAACCCTATTTTACCGTGTTCATAATTAAATAATCTTTATTTTTAATTAAATTTGATTAAATTATCAGACCGTTGCAAAATCCTACTATAAATTTACCTGTTTAGACCTGGCAACCCGAGAGTTATGACTGGAATACAATAGGCAACCTAACGTTTCCATATTCTATGGGCTTCATACTTTCGATTGAAATGGAATTTGTTTAATAGTCAAACCGGTGAAACATTTGAAAAAATATATTTTTTAAATTAATAATTAGTCATGTTCTGGACTGAAATTTATTAGGCAACCCATACGGAATATAATTATTGACATATTAAATTGAATATAAAATAAGTTTCATCAAATAAGCATCTCGGTGAAGGTCGTTCAAGGCGGGATCTTAGACTATACATGAAGTCGTTTAAATGAACTTAAATACTTATTTACAATACTGATATAAATGTTAAATAACTTATTTATGTCATCTGTAACGAACTAACTCGCTGTGTATGAAATCATATTGTTTTAAAGCTTTTACTATCTGATAATTTTGCAATAGTGAAAGGCAAAATAATATGTGAACTTCATGAAGTCTTAATAATGTAATTAACTTCAGAGTATTTCGTGTTTTTGTTTTGTTCAGTATCTTATTTTTTTTCTTATTGTTATAATGTAATGAATTGAAAAGTTTTATACTCATGAATAAAACTCCAAGTTCGTGATTTCGCAGACTCAAAGCGTGCTTTAACAGCAAACGTTATAGCGTGATTAACTGCGACCAAAATGTTTATTTTAATGTTTAATACATTATAACAATAAATTACTTAATTTATACTTAGTAAAGTAGCAATGTACAT